GATTGTAAATTTTAAATTTCACTTTCACATTTCCACTTCCATCGAGAAAGATATTCTCAGGTTTCACATCACGATGTATAACACTTTTCGCATGACAGTAGTTCAATGCATCCGCGACCTGACGAAGATACCTGGAGTATGATAAGTATGTTACCGAACAAAATCATCACAAATCCATTGTGACAAACCTGGCTGCTTCAAATTCTTGGATTTTTCCTTTCTTCCTGATCCGTACATCAAGACTACCACTTTTGGCATATTCGGTAATGATAAAAACTCTTTGTTCATCATGGAAGTAACCTTTGAGTCGTAAAATATTTGGGTGCCTGTAAGGCATATATAGAAACGGGACCATTTTTCGCATAGTAGGAGTGGCCTGTGACGTTATGAAAAGGACAGGAATGCTAGTAGGAAAAAGAAAGCGCTGCTTAGCCCCTATCATTTCCCTCCTTATCTCCCTCCCAATGTCAAAGTGACAAAATGTTTCTAGCTTTTTTTCTAGATGATCAGACAACTAAGGGTTGTGCATTATCTGTCACAAGTCATTTCCTGTTGTGAACTTACAGCAAATGGTACTGAATTTCAATTTCACTCTTTACTTGTTCCCGCATTCCATTTTCATCAATAGTTCGTTTAAAGAGAATCTGAACACGTTGAAAGATAATGGAGTTTTTAGTTGCTAATTTTTGAGCTTGGAAAAAGCGTTTCCAGCCTACTTCTACCCAGAAGTATATTCATCAAATCTATATACATCGGATGATTTAAACTTCATTCAAAAGTTAAAGTGCACAAAATCAAAGACTCTCAAATCCTAAACTCGTACTTTAATAGCAACGAAACATTTCTCCTCTTTTGACCGAACCGCAAAGACGGATCCAAATCTGCCTTTTCCAATGCTATAAGCTAGATCAAAATCGTCGAGCTTCCACATCGGCCTCCTAGCATAAATACCTTAGGATAAATTTAGCCATAACAATCTCATAATCAACCTGCTCGATGCTGTGGTAGGAGAAGGCTGGATTATGCTAACCGAACCATTGCTGCAAGTTTCCTAAAGCACTCTTCATCATAATCCCAACATGAACGGGCGAACATCATTACTTCACCTGCACCGGTTGAAGATTTGAGTGAAAAAATCTAGTAGACATCTGAATAGATTCTTTATAAGGGATATATGCCTTAAGCTCTTCAAGAAGATCTTTAATGGTCGCATGTGGAATTATATGCAACCTACCAGGAG